TGTGGAGGTGACGGTCAGTGGTTTATGGGCTTGGGGGTCGGGGGTCAGGGGGGGTCAGGGGTCAGGGGGGTGAATGCAGGAAGTAGAATGTCTGATCAACATCATCCAAGTGTTTTTAAACCTGTATAAGAAAAGTCTGTCATCTGGGCTTCAACCTTTATTACGTCTGAGGAGGAGTTTGTTGTTGGACTGAAGGAGCAGACGAGTTAGGACACGACGAAGGAGGACGAGGACGAGGAGGAGGAGGAGGAGTGAAAGTCACCTGACACCTGAAAGCTTCTGGATTCTTTTTTTTTTTGTGATCTGGCTCTTTTTGATGTTTTTGTAAGAGTTGTTTATTTTAAAGAAGTTATCTTTTTTTTTTTTACCCTGAGATAAAACGTTTATGTTCTGATTCAACATGGAGTCATTACCATAAACGTTTGATACAATCTGGTCTAAAATGTTAAGATCTATAATATTTTACCACAACAGTTTGAACATATCAGTCTTTTTAAAGAAACGTTAACGTCTTGACACTGAACAAAAACACGTTGTCATGTCGTCAAAGATCTGCCCTGAAGAAAGTCGGTGTCTGTTGATGTTGGTCTGTACTTCTGTCAGCTGTGAGTCTGTGGAGAGTTCCAACCTTTGTGTTTCCTAAGGGAAGTGAACGTGTTAGGATTTTGTGGGTGTGTGTGTGTGTGCGCATGTGATAGCTGTGTGTGTGTGTAGCTCGGAGGAGACACGTTTCCTGTCTGAGAGTCGACAGCTCTTCCTGAACCTGCCTGGTCTTGTCCTCCTTCTGAGAGCTGCTGCTGCTGCTGCTGCTGTTCCTGCTGCTGTTCCTGCTGCTGCTGTTCCTGCTGCTGTTCCTGCTGCTGTTCCTGCTGCTGCTGTTCCTGCTGCTGCTGTTCCTGCTGCTGTTCCTGCTGCTGTTCCTGCTGCTGTTCCTGCTGCTGTTCCTGCTGCTGTTCCTGCTGCTGCTGTTCCTGCTGCTGTTCCTGCTGCTGCTGTTCCTGCTGCTGTTGCTGCTGCTGTTGCTGCTGCTCCTGCTGCTGCTGTTACTGCTGTTACTGCTGCTGCTGTTACTGCTGTTACTGCTGCTGCTGTTGCTGCTGTTACTGCTGCTGCTGCTGCTGTTGTTGTTGTTGTTGTCGTCGTCGTCGTCTGTGTGTGAATGGAGAAAAGAGTCAATAATGAAAACCACCAGTGTTCATATCCCATAGTTTAATACTGTTCATCAAAAAGATAAAGAGGGAAGAAGTGGAAAAGTCAAGTGAGGGTTAGCTCAAAGTTGTAAAAGTGACTGTTAGTCTAGAAGAACTACTGTTAAATATATAAATATATATAACATATTGACTCAAACCAGCAGTGGCTTTAAGGCCTGACGTCAGGAGACTCTCCTGTCGTCTGTGACGTCAGACGTGTCATTGAGAGAGTGTTTGTCTGTTACCCTGTCAGTAGTCCTTCTACCCTCACACAGCTGGTCTTCTGTCTTCTCTCTGTCAGGTTTTTGGACCCAGAGATCCAGTGAGACGGATGAGGACCTGATATTGTGATATCAACCCCTGTCCCAGTGTAGGACCTCCACAGACCACCGCAGACCTCCGCAGACCTCCACAGACCTCCTGATTCAACAGTACCTACTGTGGACTACAGACCTTTATCAGGAATAAGCAGGAATAAGAAGCCCCCCCCCCCCCCCCCCCCCCCCCCCCCCCCCCCCCCCCCCCCCCCCCCCCCCCCCCCCCCCCGGTCACAGAGACCATCTTGGACCCAGATCCAGTGTCCAGTGTTGCTGTCCTGCAGTGCTGCCCCAGGATGGCAGGTTCACCCTCAGTCTGTTTGGCTGTTCTGGCTGTTCTGGCTGCTGCTCTCCTACTGACCCTCAGAGCTGACGGTAGGACATCAACCATGACCTGATTGGTTCTTTAAAGTGCTATTTATATGTTTAGTTTTTGTCTGATTCGCGTCTTGAAGTTACGTCACATGTGACACAGTGAGTGTTGGTGGGTTCAGTTGTCATGGCTGCTCCCATTGGACGGCACCGTCTGTTTGTGTTATTATTACTGATGTGGATTCACCTGCTCTTTGCTCTGGAGTTCCAACAGGAGGCAGCTTTGTGCAGCAGTGTCACTCATTAACCCCGCAGTTTGCACTGAGTGAGATAAGCAGTAGCATTAGCAGGAGGATCCTGATGACCTCCTTCCCTGAGCACACACATCTGGATCTGCAGCCTTTGTTTGAGGCAGTGATTGGACGTTAAGTAGCTGATAATGAAGAACAATAGAGAGAACTTTCTAGAACCAGAGTCGCCGTCAAACGTACGCTGACATTGAGAAACTAAGGAGTGAATCAGCACCTCCTTCTCCTCCTCAGTCAAGCGCTCCTCGCTGCAGGAAGCTGTTGAACTGATTGCTGCCGCTCTCACTTCCCCCCTGCACATGAACCATTTCCTGTATGAGCTGTCAGCGGCGCTAAACTCTCCAAACAGTCATTGTTCTGCGGAAATATCCCCTGTGTCCCTGTGGAGACATATTCACCTTCTGAAACAGTGTTCATTTCACCCTCACTGCCTCCACTTCCTGTCACTGTGACGGCTCAGAGAACTGAATATGAAATAAAATAAAAAAACATGAGCCAAATGTTAACACTTTAGTGTCCGTTCAAAACAACACCTGCGGTTTTCCTGTTTTGTTCAAAGTTTTACTTTAATACTTCACTATTTTAATCCTACAGATAATGAAGTGGAGTTTGCTTTTATTTATTTAATTTGATTTAAAAGAGAGAATAAGAAAAATAATGTTTTTTGACTCATTCAGTTAATTAATTATTTTATTTTAAATTTACACAAAAAGTCCGCAGCTTCACTGAGAAACTCCTTTGTTTGTAATTTAATGAACTGGTCCAGATATAACACTTATTATTCAAATGTGTACAAAAATACACATAACATCACTTTTACTGATGCCCCCTCCGACCATCTGAGGGCGTTTGATTTGATTTAAGACTAACAGCCCCGAGCCAACACTGACAGTATAACCCGTACCTCCAGGACTCCTGGGGCTCCTCTGGAAGTGTTCAATTAACCACATGTGTTCTGCCAGACGGGTGGGGCTAATCAGCACGGGGCGCTTCAGAGGCGCTGTATTTGGGAAGTTGTGAGCTGAGAGCACCAAGGTCACCGTGACCTTTTCAGACTCCAACAGAACAGGGACAGACGGGAGATCGAAACAAGCGCTCCTCTTTCTCTCCGCTCCACCACATTCTTGTCAAGCAGTGGTGGAATGAAAGTATGTGCTGTCACTGCTGCTGCGTCTGCCACACACCAGTCATCATTTACTTTTACTACACACACTTTTCTCTTTTCTGCTACAACTGGTACTTTGTTGAAAATATGGAGCAAAACAAATCTACATCCTGGAGGTCTGTTCCTGAACCCAGAGAAGTCGAATGGACGTAGTAAACATCCAAAGACTGAACTGTTAACTAGTTAAACTTCATTGTTAACTCACTTCACCAAGTGAAGTACCAGAGTAGAGGAGATGAGGTGTCAGACGTCATTAATATATATACAGTTTATATTTATATGACATGGTTTCACTCTGAACACGATTGTCGTTGAGTTCCTCTTGACCGTGTCGACCACAGGGGTCGCTGATGCTCACTCTGTGTTCAGATGAACCTCCGTCCTATTGGCCGATCCACAGAGCCTTTTCACTCCCAGCTTCTGCTGCCGGACCGTCGTACGGCTGCGTGTAAATAAACCGTGGAGCGGGAGAAACCCTGTGACTTTAAGAGACTCTGATTACCCAACATGCTCTGTGCCAGACCTCAGTCTCCACTGTGACTGCCGGCACAATTAAGCGCACATGTGGATGGAACACACAGAGACGGCAGCCATTTCCAGCCTCCGTGCTTTTCCCCTCCTCTCGTGTCACTCGTCGCCCGACAGCCAATGGGAGCTGCCGTGAGCTGACCGGGAGGCGGGGACTGGAGAGAAACTGGTGTTTTTCAGGAGCAGACAGTGGTGATATCATCATCCTGATGCTTTTCTGTTCTAGGATTGTTGTGTGAAAATGTACAGATGAAGACGAGTACGTTGGATCAACGAGTATTGAACTGGAAATATTTAGTTTTGTTGACAAACATTACTGTTTTAAGGTGTTTAATTCCAGGAATGAGCCTGGAAATGAGCCTGTAACTCCCTGGTTCCCCTGGTGGTCAGACGTGTTAGGTCGGGATGTTCACTGATCACAGGAGGAAAAAGTGCTTTTCAAAGTTCACCAAAGGCTGTTCACAGAACATTGACGTCTAAACTTCACAAACACTGTAGGAGGAAAGCTATTTATTTGGAGGATGAATCTTTTCCACCTCTTTCTAAAAAGTTGATACTAATGGTGACAAACTGTTAATTTATCGAGACACGCTGATTGTCTCTGGCTGTACGAGCAGTTTGTTCAAAGTATAGGTGTGTGTGTGTGTGTGTGTGTGTGTGTGTGTGTGGTTCATGTCCAGACATGACTGCACTCACGTCAGCAGCAGCAGAAAACCTCAGTGTTTATACTCTGTGTGTGTGTGATTCTTATGACAGAAGTGTTTGTAAAAACAGAAGCTGAAAACCTGAGGAAGAGGAGAGAAAAAACAGGGATGGAGAAGAGGGGGGAGGACGGGGAGATAGGACGGGGGGGTTGGATAACAGAGGAAGATAAGAGAGGGATGAACAGAGCTGTGACAGTGAAACAGACCACGGTCGTCTTCACTGTCTGGTAGATCTGTTCCAGTTATCCAGTGTAAACGTATTTAAATGGATGAAATCCTGGTCCAGTCTTTGATGGAGTTGATGGAGTTGGTGAACATTTTATTTTAGAAGCAGAAAATCTTTGTTACGTCAAGATGTGGCTGAGTTAGAGTTAGACTGTGGACGTTGGTACACGGTTTCTGGGCTTTGTGGAAATGGAGTGAAGCTTTGGCACCACCCAGTGGTGGTTCACAAAACATACACCAGTATTACACAGAATTACATAATCCAAATAAACTTTTTTTTTTTTTACCACACTTGACATAGATTTGTAATAAATCTCCAATTACATTGTTGAGGTAAATATTTATGACTGTAAATATTAGAGTTTACTATTAATATTTAGAACATGAGACCACACACACACACACACACACACTTGGTGACAGTTGTTAGTGCCTGGTTAGTATAAATAGCTTGTGGTCCTTATATGGAATTAATCTCTCCCCCTTACTCCCCCCCCAGCTCTCATACACAGCTGATAGAGGAGGAATGTTGTGATTGCAGTCGTCAGACACTTATTAATCAAAGTGATGCCTTAATTACAAAATAGGTTTTACTATAATAAACAGACAGTTGTTGAAAATAAAACTGACTAAAATAAAAAACAAGAATTAGAATGTAGCAATATGAAGAAAACTGGTCTGTTTAAACACTAGAGTCCACCAGCTGCAAAGTTACCACCACATCCGTCCACTTGACCATGTCCTGTTGGCTTTGTCACCGTCTGTGTCCAGCTGCAGGTCAGAACCCAGATCACGTCCTACAGGGGACCGGGGTGAACCCAGACTCTCGGCGGTCTGGTGACGACTCCACCGTCGCCCCTGAAGATGCTGCCCGATACCTCAGCTGCTACTGCTCTGGACACTGTCCTGAAGACGCCACCAACAACACCTGCCTGTGAGTAGAAGGGCAGTCCAGTCTGTCATGGAGGTGGTCTACGTTGACTAAAAGGTCACCCCAGAGAGGTCACCTCTTTAACAACCAATATGTGTCTGTTCAGGACAAACGGACAGTGTTTCGCCATTATTGAAGAGGACGAGCACGGGGACGCCCTCCTGACCTCAGGCTGCATGAAGTACGAGGGCTCGGACTTCCAGTGCAAGGTACACACACACACACACACACACACCTCTAGTGTTTGATAATCATAGCCTGGATATATTTCATGACAAATCAAATCTGTCTTAGTTTTACTCAGTCTCCCTCTAGTGGTCAGTGGAACAACGTGACTATGTTCAGATTTGACTCCCGTCTTTTTGTGACAGGATTCGCCTAAAGCTCAGACTCGACGGACCATAGAGTGCTGCAACACTGCTTTCTGCAACAGAGACCTGCAGCCAACACTGCCCCCACTGGCGCCTACTGGTAGCACATCCGTTTTACATGTTGTGATGAGGTGATTTGAAGGTGGAACCAAAGTCTTACCCCGCTGTTGTTTTTTGTTTTGGTGGATCTTTCCAGAAGGAAGTCCTCACTGGTTGGCCTTCATCATCTCTATGACCGTTTGCTGCTGCACCCTCATCTGCATCACCGTGGTCTGTTACTACAGGTGGGACTCACTGCCTCCACCCACAGCTGTCTGGAGTCGGAGTGACCTCCGTGCTGATTGTTGTTGTGGTCTGTGTCAGGTACAAGTGGCAGACGGAACGTCAGAGGTACCACAAGGACCTGGAGCAGGAGGTCTTCATTCCTGTGGGAGAGTCTCTCAAAGACCTGATCCACCAGTCACAGAGTTCAGGCAGTGGTTCTGGGCTCCCTCTGCTGGTACGGACTTAACATTGTAGAGTTTAAGAGATGACGCTAACACCTTCACCTAAACAGTTTTGGATCAACTTTAATCCTGACTTCTGTCTTCTCAACTCTCCTGTCCTTCAGGTCCAGCGAACCATCGCCAAGCAGATCCAGATGGTACGACAAATCGGCAAAGGTCGGTACGGCGAGGTGTGGCTCGGTCGCTGGAGAGGAGAGAAGGTGGCCGTCAAGGTGTTCTTCACCAGAGAGGAGGCCAGCTGGTTCAGAGAGACGGAGATCTACCAGACTGTCCTGATGAGACATGAGAACATCCTGGGTGTGTCCGTCTTCTCATGTCAAACACACTGTAGTCACTGGTTTCAAACACAGTTGATAAATGACCTCAGAGCGAGTGGCGCCCTCAGGAGGACAGAAATGGACTGAGTAGAGGCTGACGGCTGCAGGACAGGAGCAGATCAACGACTCGTTGATTTTTAATGTCAGTTGTTGGTCCTAGGGTTGATCTGAGGTTGGTCTGTAACCATCGACTCAGTCAGAGGGGGCGCTGTGGCTGCAGGTTTTGTTCCAACCAATCAGCAGCAGCAGCACACCTGACTGGATCTTTTATTCAGCTGATCTGAATGTCCAGACAGCTGATTGGTCAGTCACTGTGTCTCTGGATAGGCTGGAACCAAAACCTGCAGTCACAGCAGTCCTTTCTGGAACACTTTGCGCCCCCTGGTGTTGAGTGTGGTGAGGATCAGTATTGACAAACAAACTGTTGTTGACCCTCACCAGAGTTAGACAGAAATGTAGGAATCAGGTCTGACACCTGTCAATCACTTTCAGGCTTCATCGCGGCCGACATCAAAGGTACCGGCGCCTTCACGCAGCTCTTCCTCATCACCGACTACCACGAGAGCGGGTCTCTGTACGACTACCTGAAGGTGACCACTCTGGACACGGCGTCCCTGCTGAGGCTGGCCTTCTCTGCTGCCTGTGGTCTGTGTCACCTGCACACGGAGATCTACGGCACACAGGGGAAACCGGCCATCGCTCACCGAGATCTGAAGAGCAAAAACATCCTCATCAAGAAGAACGGGACGTGCTGCATCGCTGACCTGGGCCTGGCTGTCAAGTTCAACAGGTACCCTGTCCCGTCCTGTCCCTCAGGTCCTGTCCTGTCCTGTCCCTCAGGTCCTGTCCCGTCCCGTCCTGTCCCTCAGGTCCTGAGGAGTTCTCTAGTGGAACTGGGAAAATAATGGATTTGTAGTTGTTCATCTTTTTAATGTCATAAAGATAATGCAGTTATTATTGTTACTATTATTATTATAATTATTATTATTACCAATACAGGTCACATGACAGTCGTTTTGTTTTTCTCCAAACTGTGACGTACTCAAAAAGACTTGTTTTGATGTAGTGCTGTTGCATCATGGGAGTTTAATGAACTAAATTTGAGTTCAAGTTGAATTAAATGTTCACTTCCTTTATGTTATATTGCTCATGTCTCTCTCCCTTTGCCCCCCCCCCACAGTGACACTAATGAGGTCGACGTCCCACTGAGCACCCGTGTGGGCACGCGGCGCTACATGGCCCCCGAGGTTCTGGACGAGACTCTGAACAAGAACCACTTCCAGGCCTACATCATGGCCGACATGTACAGCTACGGCCTGGTCATCTGGGAGATGTCCCGACGCTGCGTCACCGGAGGTAGGGACGTCCCACGGGTCTCTGTCCCCTGTGTGTCCAGGTGATTGATTGTCTCTGGTTGTCCAGGTATGGTGGAGGACTACCAGCTGCCCTACTATGAGACGGTGCCCACGGATCCTTCCTACGAAGATATGCTGGAGGTTGTGTGTGTGAAAGGACTGCGCCCCACGGTGTCCAACCGCTGGAACAGCGACGAGGTGTGTGTGTGTTTGTGTGTGTGTTTTTAAATCCTCGCTGTTCTGCAGAAAAACAGTCCAACAATAACTCTGGGTTGTCCCTCTGTCTCTCTGTCAGTGTCTTCGGGCCATGTTGAAGGTGATGTCTGAGTGCTGGGCTCACAACCCGGCCTCCCGCCTCACCATCCTCAGAGTCAAGAAGACTCTGGCTAAGATGGTGGAGTCCCAGGACATCAAGATCTGACCTGAGACCTGCTGCTCCTCCTCTCTGCTGCCTGATCCATCTGACCTCACTGACCTTCAGGACCTGGACCTTTGTTGGGATGACAAGGAGATATTGGGAGAAAATGACAGGAATAACGGACCCTCTCTGGGCGGAGCTCTGCTCCTCCTCCTCCTACTCTTCCGTCAGCTGGAAATAAATGTTGAGTCCTTCCTCCTTCTCTTCTCCTCCTCCTCCTCCTCTTTCATCCACCTCAGTCTGGAAGGAGGACAGAGAACAGACGTATATGGATTATTTCCTCTCCTCTTTTCACCTCCTTGTTCCTTTGTTTACACCTGTCCTCCTCTCTCCACCTCCTCTCTCCTCCTCCCGTCTTTCTTCTACATTGATCTGTGCTTCAGCTGGATACAGACATGAACTGTTCTTTTCTTCTACTCCTTCCTCCTCTTCCTCCTACTTCACCTTTATCCTTATTTTCTTTTCTCCAACTTTCTTTCCTTTTTTCTTCCCTCTCCTCAATCCATCAGCTGAAAACCAACCAGGAGTACTTCCTCTTCCTCTTCCTCTTCCTCTTCCTCTTCCCCTTCTTCACCGCTGCGTTTGACGCTTTCTGTGAAAGCCAAACAGACAATTCAGATAATGTTGATGTCGACACTTCGTAGGAGGAGAGAAGGGTCATGTTCATTGTGAATTTTTTTTTAGGACCTACATTGGACCTCCTTTCTCCCCCCACCTCCTCCTCCACCTCCTCCTCTCGGTCTTCCGTCAGTGTTTTTATTTTTTGTTATTTCTCTACAGGACTGAGTTTTCCTGCCTGTATTTTCACTCAGAGACAAAAACTAAGGTACTAAAATTATCACATGTGAACTTTAACCTGTAAATAAATGTTAGCGTTAGCATTAGCCTTCCCGGGGAGAAGATTTCAGAGAAAAGAAAAACACTGTTCTGCAGTGAAGTCGACATCCGGCCGACGTCTGCCGTCCTGTTCATCCGTCTTTGTTCATCCGTGTCGTGTGTCTGTTTGTCTGGAGATTGTTGTTGACTGTGTCACACTGACGGCTACAGTTCTGGTGGGTAGAAAACAGTGACATCTGCTGGTGATTTTGTCCTGACAACATCAGGAGTGGTGGCCTTCGTTACAACTAGTTCTATATTACAGACTAGCTGCAGTACGGACACGTTGTCTGTGGTGTTTCTTCACATTGCCCAGTGGTCACGTCAGAGCCTGAGAAGGACGTTCAACAGAACATCAAAACGGAACTTATATCACCGGCGTGTGTTCACACATGCCCTATCAGCAAAACAACTTCTACATATTATTTTCCCTTAAAAAAAAAACTTTTAATTTTCATCAAAAAAATTCCCTGCAGCTTTAAAGAAGCTGGAAGTTTTTTAAACACGTCAAAAACCAAAACTGTTTTCTGTAATTGTTGTTCTCGCTTGCAGGACGATGCGCATGCGCACGCTCACTGCATGTTCTGTCTGAGTGTGTGGGTGTGTGCGCGCGCGTTTGTCGCCAGCTTCTTATATCTGTTTAAAAGCAGTATCACGTGTTTTTCCTGTGATGAGAAGATTTCCGATAGAAAATGTTGAGTACAGAATAATCTCAGAAATGTCAAAGTGTTGTTTTCCCTGTCGATGTGGTTGTTTTTTGTACAGCATCTGTTTCGGTGCCTTATGAGTTTACCAAGAAAAATGAAAAACTCTGTATAAGTCTGTCCAATGTTAACGATTTTTAATAAGTAAAATAACCTTATTTTAGTAAACAACCCCCGAGTCAGAGTGTGGTTCTTTTGAAAACACCCATCGACGTTTGACTCTTGATTAAATATAGTAGAACTAATTAATCGAGGAATTCACACTGTCTAAATGTATTAATACCTTTCACAGCCACAGGTGGCGCTGACAGTCGAGGCAGGGTCACACCCTGTACAGGCTCTACTCCTGTCAACATTTGGCTTCAGTCATTTATGCTGATGACGGAGGTCCACTGACATTCGTCCATATTTAATTAGTGATTATTGTTACGTTTCATAAACAGCTTCATCTCAACTGAACGAAAAAAAAAAACAGTCATTGTTTTGTCAAAGGTTTTCTGTCTTTATTTCAGCGAGTTCTGCAGTTTCATCATCTACTTGTCCTCAGGTTTGTTGAAGCAGTAGGTGAGGCAGCATTTTCCGCAGTAGTGACGGTCAAAGTGACTCGCCATGAAAACGCCGGCGCCGCACTCATCAGCGGGACACTCACGCCTCAGCCGGTGGATTTTGCCGTTCTCGTCCACCTAAGGGGAAAAACCCCGGCATATATGAACATTAAAAAGCTACTGGAAAAGATCAAACTAAAATGTAACCATAAACCTCAGACATTAATAACTAAATCACTTTGTATACGAGGGTCATGAAAGACAAACTTCAAACTGTCTTAACAGTTTCACTTGTAGTTTTCTGTTCTGTCATTGTCCAATGAAATCAGCGACAAACATTTAAACCAATTTGTCCAACGTTTTGTCATGTACCTTGTAGTACTTGAGCACAGCGAGCTTGACCTTCTTCCTCTTGTGCTTGTTCTTTTTGGGTGTGGTGTAAGACTTCTTCTTTCTCTTTTTGGCACCACCACGCAGCCTCAGAACCAGGTGCAGAGTGGACTCCTGAAGAGAGAGAGAAAAAAAAAAGCAGTCAGGTAACATCCTTAACAGTTGATCCACTAAAGGTTTTATTGCTTCTGCAATTGTGCAACAGCTTTTTCTCTGCTCACCTTCTGAATGTTGTAGTCGGACAGCGTGCGTCCATCTTCAAGCTGCTTTCCAGCAAAGATCAACCTCTGCTGGTCAGGAGGGATTCCTGCAGGAGCAGAAACAAATCCAGTGTTTCAGAATGTCATTGTTGATAAAACAAAGAAGAAACACAGGTCTAATAGTGTCATAATTCATACAGCTTGTATTAACAAAAGAAACTTAAAGAGGGAACAACAATTGACTAAATCTCTGTTACCTGCCTCCTCAGGAACTGGACATTTATAAAACAGCCCTAATTTCACGACTTCATTCATCATTAAATTTCATCCTGATGTTGGGCATCAGTAAAGCCATAGCAGTCAGTCCAATGTCAAACTACAGTATATTTACATCAGTGAAAGCCATACCATAACTTTTTCATTTAGCATTGACAACAAAGAATGGTTAAATCTTATTTATTATTATTCCCAGTTGTCAGTATCATTGCTAAACCACGCACCCATAAATTAACACTCACCTTCTTTGTCCTGGATCTTGGCTTTGACATTTTCAATAGTATCTGAAGGTTCGACCTAAGAAGACAGGGATAGGTAAGAACGGAACAACTTCAGCCGAAGATACGTCACAACGACGGTAACGAATTCATAATTTAATCGTGTGCACGTGTGGGTACAGTCTGATGTTAAACGCTCACTTTAGTGACAGGATCAACTAGAGTAGTAGCTTACACGTGTTTATGCTGCGCCCGGTAGTTAGCTTAGCCGCTTAGCATACGTAAAAATGTAACTTTAGATATCGACACAGTCGTAATAAGATATAAAAAGAACACGAAGATTAAAAACCTCACCGTTAACTTAACATGTGAGTAATTATGTGTTTATAGATACAGTGTCTGCTGCATTCTACCAATTACAGACTTTTACAGCAGTAGCAGCGGCGGTTTCTGAGCCTCCATCACAGTCTGACTCGCACTCTTTCTCACCTCGAGGGTTATAGTTTTCCCCGTGAGGGTTTTGACGAAAATCTGCATCCTGGCGTTTCACCACCTAAACCAAACAAATACAATGACACTTAGCTACATTTTAAGCCAACACGACAATCAGAAAGGGGCGTTTTATGAGAAAATTTGATGTTTTAATGCGGAGCCAAGTCTTACCACCAGTTCACTCCTAATGGCGGATCATGAGAAGAGGGCTTTTTGTTTCACACACAGGGTTTTCTGTGCGCGTTTGCAGGGGTTATAGGAGCCCTTTATGGTGCCTGCATAGAATTCTCCAACGTTTTAGCTTTAAGTTTAAGTTAAAACAAATATGTCTGTGTTTATGTTTGTTGAGTACATTATGACGATAGTTGTCAAATAATAGAGACCATTGAATGGACGTTTTGCCCTTATTTTTGTCTCCTCTTGTGTCTTGCACTTGCAAAATATAGTTATTTTTACATCCTAAATATAGTTTTCTCTAATAAATCATCCGATATACAACCCTATTGTTTCGTTCTACACCCACATTTATTGGTTTGACATAATATATACCATTTATCATTTAACTCAGCTGTTAATCCAGCAATTTATTGGTTTGACATAATATATACCACTTATCATTTCACTTTTTAACTACATTTACTGATTTTTTCTACTACTACAACTAGTTTTAATAAAAATATCTTCCAGCATGTAGGTCTATTTTTTGTAAAAAAAAAAACTTCATACCAACAACAAACTAAGAAAAATAAAACAAAAAAGACTATTGTTATATTTTTCTTAGTTTGTTTGTATCTATAGCAACGCTCTGTGTCGAAAAGCGTCACATCAACAGTAAGACGGCATATGTTACACTGTTGATAGGAGAAAGAAAGCGATATTTGAAGGTAAATATGCGAAGGTCACAGATTTACGGTAGTCCATGTTCCAAGAAAGAAAGATCTGAGTTCAGACCAACAGGCAACTTTGACCAGGATCAGATTTTTCTTCAATCTCTGAAGGAGTACATGAAAGAGGAGAAAGTGTTTCTAAACTGTCCACCAGATGGTGCTGATGAGCTGCGGTACACAGTCTATCGCTCTGTTTTCAGCCAGGTAAACATGAACCTGGAATTGAATCTGATTTTTAATCACATGTTGGTGATTTTTCTCTTCTTCTTTTTCTTTCTTTAGGTGATTTCTCGAGCCACACTTTATAGAAAGCTCCTCTTGAATATAAAGTCGGAGTATGATGACGTAATTGAAGAACTGAAGAGGAAGAAGAATGACGCCAGAACGACTATGCGACATCTTGCTGTTGCGACGTCAAAGTTAACGTCACTGAAAGTCTGTCAATGTCGAGAAGAGAAACTGAGACACAGGTGAGTTGATTAGAATGATTTAGTTTCAACTGTAATAAAATCAAAGTTACAGTATTTCAGTAGGCTTCGATGTCCAGTCAGATTAGAAAAATAAATAATTAATACATTGTGCATTTTTTCTCATGCTTTTATAAAACCAAAACCTTAAGCTTAAGCTCTGTATTTATTTAATGATTTATTTCTCTGTCTTAACCAATATTTGATACGTCAACAACTTTAGTGATTTGTTTAGGTCTAATTATCTATTCATTGTATTCAAGTATGTCTTTAGAGAATGACGATGTGCTTCAAATCCACAGGCAACAAGTTGTTGCAGTTTTCTGCAACATAACATAACAACAACAAAAAATAGAAAACATATTTTGACACATGATTTGTCCTTGAAACCCATTTTTGTTTTGACAGGATCGCCGACCTGAAAAAGGAAACTTCACAACTTAGAGATGAGATAAAGAGACGGAGAACATCAACAGGAGAGAGAGAATGGATTCCAGGTAACACTGTTTGACAGCATGAAAAAACACCAGCACCAGGACCAGTTCTCCTGCAGGAACCAGGAGACCTGCTTGAACAGCATGAATGCCTGAAGCTCTGGACTCTGGACCCTTGAACCTTGAACCTTGAACCTTGGACTCCATCATTGGGCTGGCGGCTCTTAATGTTGTAGAATCTTATTGTTGTTGTTGTTGTTTTTGGTTCTTGTCTGATAAATCAGGTCTGACTGTGGCTCAGTCTCAGGATGTGGATGTTCTGGACCAGCACCTGAATCATCTCTGTGCTCACAGAGACGCCCTGCTGGAGAAGAAGCGTCACTGTGTGCCCCTGCAGGTCAAAGTCCGTCTGGATGCAGAGCTTCAGAGAGTGGAGAGACGACGAGGAGGACTAAAAACTGAGAACCAGTCTCTGAAAGTCCTGTAAGAAACCAGCGACCTCAGCTCCAACACAGGTCATGTTTTCATTCATCCTGACTCAGTGGGTTTTTTCATTGCCTCACAGCTACAAACGTCTGGCGTTTGTGTATGACGGACTGTGTCAACAGCACCGTTTGGAGGAAGTCCTGGACCGAGTCAGACAAATCAGAGGTGAAGCTCTGCTAATGCTGATGCTAATGCTGATGCTAATGCTGATGCTGCTGGTTATAATTACACTGCTGCTAAAGTTACTGCTGATCAAACCTGACACTGTTCTCGTGTTTGTGTTTGTTCCACAGTGACAGGTGACGACAGCTTTGACACTGAGCTGTTCAGGGATGAAGAACCATCTGGACTGGATGAGTCTGAGCTCCTGGACCAAACCCTGGACAGGTGCTGAGTCCAGCAACTAACCCATCTAAGACATGTTAATCAGCACTCTGTCGCAACAACAATAGGACAACAACAACAACAAGACTTAAAGATAGACCATAAAACATTCACTATAAAATACAGTATATAGTCACCACAACAACAAGGTGCAAAGACTATAAACAGCTGTGGACACACACACACACACAAAATAATATGAAGTGCTGCAGAAAGTTGACCAATCAGAAAGTACAAATTCAACTCAGGAAATGGATGGGATGCAACTTTTTACCCTCAGGAATAGTCAGAAAAGACGTGTACTTAAGTCTGTTTGCCAGTAGATGGCACTGTCAATATGCCCAACAATGGACATTTAACGAGTTACAGTAAATTCTTTCTTCTTTCTTCTTGCAAATCGTTGCTCTGTTACTGCCAGCCTGGAAAAAGCTTTAGGAAATTTAAACTACACTGGAACAGATTTTTTTTAAAAATATGTTAGACATTATTATTATGGTGGCGCTTTGGTCCAGAGGCAATGTCTCTGTCATTGATGTGGAACCCCAGGGTTCTCCTCCTGGGCAACTTCGAATCCCTGTTAGGGCGGTTGGTACCTTCCAGTGGACTCACCACCTGCAGGAAGGTTCAGGGGGGGTTGGTACGGTGCAGTGTGATGTGGGTGGAGACTGCTGCCCCCGCGACCCGGTAACGGACAAGTGGATGAAAATGGATGGATGGATGGATGGATGGATGAATGGATTATTATTATTATAAAAAAAGTCTGCAGGTAAAGATTCAACCGCGTGACTATTTTTTTAGGTTTGTTGAACTCTTTGACTCGGCCCAGTTTGAGGAGGCAGCTCTCCTCGCTGCCAGTTCCCCTGGTGGAGTTCTGAGGAACTTGGACATTATGGAGATGTTTGAAGGTGAATGAGTAGAAACACACAGAGGATCAGTCACTTCTCATTCATGTCTTCAACCTCAACAACAGAGAGGGACAAACCGGTGACAGCTCAGAATGACGAGCCGTCCATTTCTCTGTTTCCTCTCAGGTGTGATCGCCCCCCCGGACTCAGCTCCCTCAGGGTCCAGTCCTCCTCTCCTCCACTTCTTCCAGGCTCTGTTGACCACAGCACCAGCGGGGGTGCAGTTGTCTGCTCCTCTCTCCCTACGGTGTGTCCTCGTCTGTGCGCAGCACCGAGCGTCACAGCTCGTCGTCCACGCTGTCTCCCAGAACAAGTATGATCTGATGTGAGCTCTAACACCCGGGGCTGAGTCACTGTGGTCACTGCGGTCACTGCAGTCACTGCGATCACTGCCAGTGTGTGTCACGTCTCTCTTCCCACAGACTGACCTTCTCTGAGGAGCTGGGCGACGTCCTCACTGAGCATGCTCTGAAAAACGCCAGCATAAAAGAGCAGTATCTGGCTCTGGCCTCTGTCGTGTACGAAGGCTGTGGACCGGACAGGAAGAGCGCACTGAGCATGTGCAGGAGAGGCCTGAACCACAGAGCTGCTGAGCTGATGGAGCAGAGTCAGAGCGTCACAGATGGTCTGTGTGGTGGTTCTCAAGTACTGGATCAAGTTAGGATTACAGTGATGCATCCTGGGGCGCTGCAGGGAACTCTGGGCCTCATGGAAGGACATGACCTTTTCATATAATATTTAATACAGTATTTTCTGGGCCTCTATCAGTGAGAGATCCTTGTAATTGTCTTTGGTCAATGCCACAGTGTAGTGGTTAGCACGTCAGCCTCCAGGCAGAGAGCATAATAACAATAATAATCATCACAGTCACAGTCACAGCTGATTGGTTCATTCTGATTCAGTCAGTGCTGTTTGAGTTCACAGTTTGTCTTCTCCTCCAGAGGACATGGTGTGGGTGCTGTGTCAGTGGCCCAGTCTCTCCCTCCTCCGGTCGCTGACTGAACCCCGACCCGGAGATTGTGATCACCTCCGCCGTGCTTCCATCTTGTCAGTGTGCGTGGCGTGTTCCACTCTGCTCACGGACCCCGAGCGGCAGCCGTTGGTGCTGCAGCTTCTGGACGACCTCGTCCACCGAGGTGTGACATCAGCACACAGTGTTGGGTTTTTAACCACCTGCGTCGATGACCTCTGACCTCTGACCTCTGACTGTGGTCATCCTCCCAGGGGTTTTGGAGGACGTTATGTTAGAAGACAACCACTCCACGGTGGACGGTTGGATCCAGGTGGTTTCTCTTTGCTCTGAGCTGAAGCGTGTGGACCTGAGTCAGGCCATCACCTCAGTCCTGCTGAGTCATGGTGGGACCAGAGTCCTGAGTCCAGGTCTGGACGGAGCTCGCCTCGTGGAGCACGTCTTCCTGTGAAGACAGGATGTGGCCACACCTCCTTCAAGAAAGTCAGCCAATACAGAGTGAGGCTAAACATGAGGTCGTGGCCCACATGAGACCAACGCGAACACTGTCGTTTAAACACAGCTTCACTTCTGTTTCTTTTTCTTTTTTTCTAGAGAGTGAGCGGTTTAAATCTTCTCTAATCTTATCACATATAAATTCTTTAACAGTAATCATTTAAATTGATGACCTGTTTGTTTGCTGTAAATGATTGATGTTTGAGTTTTTGTGCTGGTTGAAAAAAATAAATCAGAAGAAAAGCATGAAATCGTAGTAAGCAGCCCACGGGGTTACGGTCCTTGAATGCAGCATTTCACTGCTTTGCATCAGTGTTGTGGAAGTGATTAGTCATCCTCACTCAACTGATGCTGCACCAAAATAAACCCAGTAGACGAGTGCAGTGTGGACACAATGGAGTGTTTTGTTTTATTATCTGACTGTTCTGTCAACTCATGTCCTTCAGTCTCCAGGGAGTTTGACTGTGTTTGTGTGTTTGTTCTGCTCCTTCTCTCTGGTGAGCGTTTGACCACAGTAACTGCACCATGACTCAGGCTTTAAACCCCACAGAAATGAACCACTGGAGATGAATGGATGGAACTGAGTGACTGTAGGAACTCATTGATCTATAGAGGGATTTCTAACTATTACCAAAAATGATCATTTCCTTTGCAAACTTTAACATAAACAGAAACTGGATCTGATCTTCATCTTCTTTAGATTAGATTTACTCTAACTTTGAAATATTTTTCTTTATCTTTTAAAAATAAAACTGAATATAATCAACTTAATTTTGTTTTGTTTGTGAATAATAATATTAATAATAATAATGTATTGATTTGTTTTAAAGAGAATACATATCAGTTTCTGCATTCTTGTTCACATTTGACGAATAATAAATAAAAAATAGAATTAAGCTTTATTTAATGTCACTCTTGTACTTTTGGTTTTTCGGAGCCTGTTGGTTTTAAAGTTACTCAGAGTGTGTCTGACCTTTAACCTTAGTATTTTCACTTCACCCCTGTCTTTATCACACAGTTAGTACTAGAACAAGAAGTGCTCCTTGTTCTCGTTATGTAATCTGGTTCCTTTTTACTGCTCCTCAACATTTAAAAAAAGGTTCAGCTGAAGGCGAGGTCAGGTTTAGCTTTGACACTTCTAATTGGTTAGAACTTACGTCACTCAAAACATCTGACGCAGATAATTGGTCCGCAGAGTTTCCCCCTCCTTTTCGCAATTTGACAGAGACCGACTCTCCGGGAGTCGGGTCCGACTCTGGGGTAACTGTTGAGCAGCGAACTCGTGCCGGTTTGTCCGCTGTAAGAAGAAACTCCAGCAGAGTCCGCGGAGGAAGTCGGTGGCGCCGTTTCACTGCTCGGTCCAACCGGAGGTGTGGAAGACGGACACTCCAGCGAAACTTTAGCGAAACTCTTAACTTTTTTTTGTACCTCCACCTCCGAAGAAAAATGGCAGACGGTGAAGATCAAGTGTCCTCCACGACTGCGCTGTTCAGTGACGTGACGCATCACTACCAGGCCGAGCCAGAACCGGAACCAGAGCCAGAACCTGAGCTCGAACAGCCTAAACAGGACCTTTACAGCCTGGATGACATCGTGGACTTAGTCGGCGGGGCTCAGGACGCGCTGGAGCGCCACATTGCTGAAGACAGTGCGTCACACGAGGTTGAGGAAACTCCCCCCACCCCGGTGACGCTGCTGGAGTCAGAACCGGTGTCGATGCCGGAGCCGTTCCCGGACTCAACCACCAGCTCCTGCTTCGCCTCGGAAAAAGTTTATTTCACAGAGGAGCCGATTATAATAGCGCCCAAAGCCGAACCAGAAAGTATTAAGATAGAACCACACGCTGCCCCAGAGCCGGAGCCAGAGACGGAGACTGCCCCTACCCCAGCGGAGAGCGCCGCCCTCCCGGTCACTGAACCCCGGAAACAAGAGCCAGCCCCGGCAGAAGCAGCAGAGGAATCAGTGGCTCCTGCATCTTGTAAGTATCTTCAGAAAACAATCACCTAAAATGAACATGTACGTCGTTGATGGTCTTATTTTATTGAAGTGACTTTGAGGTGAATCAACAGTGATGGATAAATCCGTTCTTGACGTTTTGTTTCTCCATCTCCATCACATCTGTGGCCCGGTGTCTCCAAACACAGAACGCAAATGGACCTCATTTGAATAACGGTTTATGATTATCAACAAATCCGTCATTTTTTAAAAAGATACTGTGTCTGTTTGGTGTTCGTTTTCTATCATTCTTTGTGTGTTTTTTGGCCTGGTTACGTCGCGGCTCAGGTTAGCGGTGATGCTATCCTGAGGCGAGGCTGCAGAGGCGGAGAACGGCCTGTGACTGAAGACCGATGGTTAATGCAGTTAGTGTAGTTGTATGTATTGTAATGTAATTTATATTTTAGATTATTATTGTTAAATATAGAATCACTATCCCCACACTGTCGCACTGGATTAGCCGCCGGGTCCTGCCGCTGACGCGGCGACGCGGCCCACCTGTTTTTTCCTCAAGCGGCAGAAAGGCGTCACGTCAACTAAACGGACCCATATTTCACCAGTATTTCTTCAAATGGCGTTAGAATAGTTTATATGAGTGTGTACAGGCATCAACTGTAAACATTTATTGAACTGGAAGTCTCGTTGTGTCGGAGACGTCGCCGCAGCCGTCTGCTGCTCTCCACACAACATATGTTGCTAATATAGGTCCGTTATCGGACAGAACCGAGGCAGCTTGTCTTTTGTCACAGTGATGAATAAATCAGCGGAATATTTATGGCATTATCCATAACAATTCAGATGCCATTTTGAACGGTGTGAGAAACTGTGAGGCAGCCGGTGATGATGTCTGGTTCTCCGTCCCTGCAATGACTAGTCCGTTATTCGAAAACGGGCCTAATTGTTTTAATCTTGTGTTGATTCATCAGATTTAAAACCTCCAAACAGCGATTTGTGAGACTAGTGGTAGTTCAATTTAGGGGGAGAGGGAGGAGACTAGGGGGTGAAGCAGACGATGTTTCAGATATAGATACACGCGTTAGCCAGTTAGCGGCAGTAACTCAGATTAGTCACAACAAAGGAATCCGCTCTGCGTCCACTCCCTGTCTGCTGCTGCTGATGCTGCTGCTGCTGCTGCCATCGTCACTCCTTTTAACCCTGTCGTCCAACATCCAGCCACACCTAACCTCCATCATCCCCCCCCACTCCCCCCAGAGCCTCTTCAAACTGTCACCATCACTGACCTGAAGATGACACTTCTGTTACAGTGACCTGTTTTCGCACAGATTTTTAGTGAAGTGGTGGACACCGCTCTGATGATGGAGATGATGTTGATGTTTACTCACATGAGGCAGCAGGTAAACAGGCCTCAGCTCAGAGGAAGGGTGGGGCTGCTGGCACAGGCCGCTGGTGGAGGAGGGGTATAAAAAAAACCTGCATCCTAGATAGATGCTCTGCAGTGACAAACACTGAAGGTGATACGAATCAGTAACTTAAGTAATTTATTGATACCTTTTAGTAAAATTCGATTGAACTAAGATCATTAGATCGTTAGTTAGTTAGGGTTAGTGAGTGTTTAACATTCGTCTGTTGTTCTAACTAATGAGCGTTTACTTTGTGTCTGTGGAAGTGTACTGTAATTAATGCTGCTGATAAAGAAACATTGATGAGGGTATAACAGACACATGAACTAAAGTCGGGTCTGAACATGTTTTACGACACGTGTTTATTGGAGGAACAGAATATTAACCTTTTAAGGACGAATACAAAAAAAAGTATTAACAAATGACACCAGTGCACGTTGAAGAGTGAATCTGTGTTGGCCCCGCCCGTGTTTATGATTAAACACAGAATATCTCAGTCATGCTGTATATTATTGTTTTGACACTTAATTTCTGTTCTTTTCTTAGGCAATATGACAATATAAAATAATTCAATATTTAATAAAGTAAAGTAAAAAAGTATTTATTGAACATATTTAATTTCAAAAGGCTTTAGATAATAAGAAAATCAAAATATCCTTCAGAAATGTAAAATAAACAAAAAGTAAAATAAATAGTTTTGTCCTCACACAAAGAATAATATGGTTTAAAATAAGTGGCAGAGCGTTGTACCAGGTGTTGTGACTGATGACATCATCATTCATTTATAAGACAATCTGATGACGGGTGTGTTTTTCTTTGCACCGTAATATAAAGTTGTAACAGAAGAAACAGTATAAAAGTGACAGCTGGTTTGATGGTAAATAACTGTCCCAGTCCTGACCCTGTGAGGAACTGCTGATTTAAAGAAACAAAACGCCCTGAATGTCTGGATGACAGATGTTTCTGAAATTGTTTGACTTTTGTACATTAAGTTTATAATGTAATTAAAAAAAACCCTGAGCCGAGGAGAAACTGCAGCTGAGACGAGTAAACCTGACACCACGTGTGGTGGAAAATAACTGAGGCGTGGCTCCGCCCCCTCCATTGTCTCCTCTAAATCTGACCAGTCTTGCTGTGACTTTGCATCACATTCACGTCGCTGGAGCGGCGACTGGACGGTCAGCCGTGGTGTGTGGGCGTGTGTTGTGGTCAGATGAATTAGACTCAGCTGGGGGGGGGGGGCAGACACACTGTCACACAGGATTAACACACACTGCCTGTGTGTGTGTGTAGCTGTACAGGAGTTTGTCCAGTGTTGTTGTTTTCTCCGTATCCTGGAGCTGCAGCAACACACACACACACACACACTGTTAACTCAACTCAGTCATCAGGTAAAAAATAGATTTAAGACTGTCAGCGTTGTCAGTACTTTAACGGAGCAAATGTGAAACAGTCAGATCTTAATAAATCAATAGGTTCTGTAAATCAGATGTGACCATATATTCAGGCACCTGGTTAGTACCAGGTGGAACTCCAGAACGAGTTGTCAACAGGATCATAAACTCTTACTGGACATTGAAAATGGATTTTCTTCACGTGTCATTTTTGACATTTTTGAAATGTAACATTCCTATCCCACCATGTCTTACCAGTGGAAAAAGAGTTTAAAAATAATAGAAATGAAATTAAATCTGTACCAGTGTCTCCCTCCACTGGTATATTTGAAGATTTACCAGTTACAGCTGACATCTCAACTGGTAAAAATGACTCACTGATTGTTAAGCAGTAAAAGTTGCCTCATCATGGTGGACGTTTGTACCAAGTCAGTTCCTGTTGCACAAGCTGTGAATAAGTCACACATTTAAACCCGTTGTGTGCAATGAATCATGGGTCACAGACTGGGTTAAAATTGGTTAGATCTATATTTCTTAGATTTGTGATTCCACTGGCCTTCCTCCAGTCCACTGCAGGCCTGTGTGTGCTGCAGCGAGGAGACGGACACAAAGAGACGCAGGTGTTTTACATCTGGCTTCCTCTCAGCACCGCACTGAAGTGAAGACCGTGTTTTAATGGAGGTAGTATTTACCTGCAATGAGCTGATTCAGCACATTCACACTGAAAACCAGGCCATGTCGTTTTGCTGAGATCTGGTACCGTTTATTTTCCTAAATGAATGAGAGAGAGAGAGAGAGAGAGAGAGAGAGAGAGAGAGAGTAGTCAGATATGGCTTTATTTTATGTCTGTGACCAGAAGACATTGTGCTTCCCTCAGGTGGATTTACTACCAGTATACGTGTGTCGGCAGTGACGGGCTGCCAACATGGCTGCCAACATGGCTGCCAGCATGGCTGCCAACATGGCTGCTAACATGGCTGCCAACATGGCTGCTAACAGAAACACAGAGCAGCTGTTTCTACGAAGTACTGACAAAACTCTGCTTCTTGTATAAAAGTGCATGGTGCATCTGCTGAGCCCAGGCTCCCTCCTTCCTCCCCCCCTCCGCCTCCCCCCTCCACCCCCTTTGGGCAAACTGACTCGGCATTTTTCTTATTGCTATTAAAATGTAATAATGATAACGTGTTCAGTCGTTCATCTGAGAGACCGTTGAGGTTTTGTTGTTGTTCTCAGTCACTGCCTCGTTGGTGTGGACTGAAGTGGAGTTTGTGGAGACAACCTTCTGTCTTTCCCATCACTCCCTGAGATGCTTGAACACCCGTGAGCAGAGGAACCGTGTCAGTGTTTAGGATCTACATCAGTGGACCAGTGATCAGCCCGGTATTTTAAACTGTGTATTTT